CTCAGTCCACAGGTACAGGACTTGGTGCAGACGCAGCTCATCACTACGTACGCGGCACACAGACCAACCCCAAGATTGCGAGATCCCCATCGCCGTCTTGTACGACTGACCGCTGCTTTCTTGCTTTCTTTCCGATCATGGGGCGCTTGGGGCGCGGCACTACAAACGACTGCGCGCCAGCGCCCTTCGAGTCTGGAGGCGGAAGAGGGGGGATTGCTCTCCTCGTCTACTACCTCGCCATGCCGTGAAGGTCACTTCGTCTTGTGCTACGGCCGACCGGCGCCTGCGCTATGCAAATCGCCCCCCAGCCTGGCAGGGGTTGGAAATAGCATCCATGACCCTACAGCACCCTACTCGATAACCTTCCAGAAAGGCGAGGAGCGCCGAATCGTCAGCATCCGCCAGTCCTCCCCGCGCCATTCTACTCGTGGCTGGGCGCCTGGTCATCTTCTCTAGAGACCGTGCTCGTTCAACAAGATGCAGGCCCAAGCCGCCGTTTCTGCTCCGCATTCGATTCTCGAGGAGTTGAAAAATGCCCAGACATTCCTCCTTCGCCTGGTTGGCGAAGAACCCTCAGTACAAGCAAGGCTATTCCACGAGTATGGGCGGAACACCACCCTCGTTGCCGGTTGCGACCTCGATACTTTGCCCCATCGCCCCGTAGTTCCATTTATGGCGCAATATCCAGTCGTCCCCTCATCCCTGTGGCCATCACGAACCCTGGCGCTCAAGTACCGGTGTGTAGAGTGACCAACGGCCAGCGCAATTGTGCCGCCGTAAGCCAAGACCATCTGCACAAGGCTGGTAACCCCTATCGTCAATAGCGTCTTTCGTATTCCTAACCTTTGCCCCTCTCTTGAGCCCCTCTCCCTCCGCTGACCGTCTGCCACCAGTGCCAATCGAGGCGTCTTGTCTCATTGCTCACCGTGAGGACCTCCAAGCCTGCACGGGTCCGAGACTACGACAGAGTGGACAAGGCCCCCGCCGGCCGTGCTGCTCCATCAAATCCTCCTCCCATGCCCCGACCGCTCCCGGCTGCCATCGGCGGGCAAGTGCTATGCAAATAGCGTTCGCGCCTGGACGGTTGCTTTCTTTTCGGGCACGCATACATCCAGATCACCATCTCGACCTTGTCTTTCCAACGCATCTTTGCACGAGACGTCTCAGGCACGCGCCAAGTCAGGCCGTTCACGAGAAACACCCAGCGGTGAGCTACCATCCGGAGCGTTACAATCGGATTGACGTTGTACGATCCAAGATGCGTCATAGGCGCCAATTCGTGTCCGAACAGCTGTGCTCCCTTGGGCCCTAAGGCAGTGAGGCAGATAGCCGTCCTGACGGCGGCTGTAACCCTATCACGATATGACATGAATCTAACTTTAGGAGGGATCGCACGAGGGAGGCATGATCTGGGCACCGCCGCACGGCGCACCTTTAAAACTCCACGTGCTGGCATTCAGATGGTCAGCCCTGGACAGAGGGAGTGGAAAGATGGGGCTAGCAGGCTGCTGTGAATCTACAAAATAGGTTGCCAGCTGTGACCTCGTTAAGTGGAAGGCGCATTCCACCTCAGACACATAGGACATAAGGCCTGGCATGAGAGAGGCTGGAGCTTGATCCCTTTTCCCATGGCATTCTTGGGGGCTGGTGCGTGCAAGTCGCAGCAGGTTCTTTTGATCGACGAGGTTCTGGAGCGACAAATGATCCTTCCCGAGCGACCACACAATACCATGATCTCTCTCATCATCCGTGTCGGTGCCACGATTGCGCGTGTCAGTTGGCAGTGTACATCGGCTATCGTAAGAAGCTGGGTGCGGGAAGTGACAGGAAGCTGTCGGCAAGGCAACGGGCAGTGCTAGGAAACAGTAGTCGACACTGGATGACTTCGATGCACGCCGGTCGTAACCATGTATCTTCTGGGGTGAGGTGCTCCCATGTTCCGTGGTGCCATGCAAAATGGATGCGCGCTAAGGAGTGAGATAAAGTCACTACGAAGTACCTACCTTACCTCTCTGTGTGCTGGCCCTGTTGGGAGCGTACTCCCTCAGCGTTAGTGCCACTGCACGTTGGGGGCCTCAGGGCCTCTACGCCGTCAGAGATAGCACCCCAATGACCCCCTCGTGTTTGATGGACCCGTGTCGGAACGCCCGGATACTTTGTAGGTACCTGAGCCCGTTCGAAGTCTTTCCAGCACTGGCGGACTGGGCGGATTCTCGAGGCTTGCCTCACTGCGATGACTTCCATACTTGGACATGCCCCTTCGTGGTCAGCTCGACTAGCCAAGTTTGCTAGCCCCTTTTTCCGTCCATCCACCCATCCATCTCATCCATCCCTCGAGTTGGTTTGACAGCCACCATCCCGGAGCCTGCTCCCTCGAGTTTCCTTAGCCATCCCATCGTTCAAGGAGGAGGGACAGGCAAAGAATTGAGTCCCTTTCCGTGGCGAGACGTTGTCTCTTCTTCCTTCGCTTCTTCTCACAGCCCGCTCGCTTTCTGGCCCGTCTCGCAATCACCACCACCTCCGTTCGCTCCTTCACTCTCGCTTTTTTTTCTTGTGCGACAAGGCAAGGTCAAGGACTGGCGTCGCCCACCTCTCTCGTTTCAGTCTGACTGACTGCTCAACGATCGTCTGTCCTCGGTTGTCTGTCACGCCAACACGGGCTACGAGCCATCCGACTCAATCGTCTCGCACTACCCGCACCAAACGAAGACAGAAAGACTCGGTCTTCTGTTCCAACCTGTTCAGTCGCCGCACACGGCTGTCCCAACGGCTTCATCCGTCGCCCGTTTCGCCATTTGTCTCTGATCACGCCGCTGTCGTCCCTGACGACGGACTGCATCGCGTCGCGTCGACTTGCCCTCGAGTAGGGATCACGGCTTCTTCCTGGATCCCCGGATATTGAGACAGGGCGACCGATATTGCACACTTTCTTCTGAGAAAACCGGTTCCCAAAGTGGGTGCACCCGCTCGATCGCCACGCTGTTGCTCTGCCTGCACAGCCTGCTCACTGCACAGACTGTCTGTCTGGACAGAGAGGACAGGCCCAGATCAGGTCTGCGGCCACTGAGAGGGCTGCACGACCATCCGTCTCCCAAGGAACCCCCGCTCAATTAGCAGGGATCCATTGCCTGGCCTCAGCCAACGCAACCCACAAGTTTTGCCCTGGGCCTGTGTCCCCCCCCCTCCCCTCCCCATAACAACCAAACCCATTGGTGAGTGAGGGCCTTGTTTCCCATTACTTGCTTGCATTGGGCTGCCTGGCCTGCCCGATCCTGCCTGCCGCCTCTGTGTACCTATTGTACCGTACCGTGCCTTTTGGCCAGGCCATTCATCTCTCCCAGTCCTGTCAGACATCACAAACATCACCCACGCCGCGCTTCTCGTCGTCGTCGTTAGGTGTTACGTTCACTGAGCAATTCCACGCTGGTTCTCGTCCCCCATCGTCGTACTGTTCTTTTTCTCTTTCTTTCCTTTCCCTCCTCCAAACTCCACATACCCTACCTCGCTCTGAGATTCGCAGCCTCTCCCCACGCGTGTCTACGCCACGCTCGCCTCTCCCCAAAGGGTGAAGTCTTTCCCTCCATCAGGCCAGAAGTGAGGAATGCGACGGCGCATCGCATTCCTGCCATGTCAAGGATGAAACGAGCTGACTCTGTTATTTCCGCAGGACCGGCGCAATGTCTCTTCCCGAACGACCAGGAGGCAACTCCTCTGAACATCGAAATGCCTATAGGCAATCGCAGTCCCGGCGCCATCGCCCAGCAGACATTGAGGCCTCGAGCTATTACCCCGTGGAAGGAGGTCGATCAAGTCGTCATCAACGTGGGCTTTCCGCGAACTCCTTCGCAGAGACGATCCCCTCGCCTAACAATAGCTTCGTAGAGAATATGCCTCTTTCGCCCACCGGAGAGCGGCCTCCCGCGCCCGACCAGCCTTTCCAGCGAAAGAGGAGTTTGATCAGGCCCGAGAGAAACAGAATCGATAAAGACCACCCAAACTACCACTACCGGAAACATGCTGCCAACATGAGCACCATGCCCTCGGCTACCGGCAACGACCCCATCGCCGAGGATATCGAGGCCACGACCGACGTCTCCGGCAGTCGGTCCCAGACGCTCGACGGCGTATCCGACACGTCACCCCCGCGCGGTCACGGCAGCAGGCCCAACAGCGGCGAGCAAGAGAAGAAGGCGCCACGAAGCAGCGCCAAGCGCGTTTCTCGACACAAGTCCGGCAAGATCACTAAGAGTGCTAAGAAGCGGAGCACGCCCCAAGAGGTCATCCGGCCGCCCAGTTTCTGGAACGTCTACTGCGCCATCATCACGTTCTGGTGCCCCGACTTTATGCTCAAGTGCTTTGGCATGCGGTCCAGGGCCGAGCAGAGAGCCTGGAGGGAAAAGATGGGCCTGATCAGTCTTATTCTGCTCGTCATGGGCAGCGTTGGCTTCATCACTTTCGGCTTCACCGCTGTCGTGTGCGGCTCGCCGCCCCTACGCATGCGGGTCAACAAGGTCTCGGATGGCTACATGATCTTCCACGGCACCGCCTACGATCTGACGAGATCGGGACACCCTCCGGCCGAGGGTATCCCCGTTCCCAGGGGCCAAAGAGGCGCCAACATTCTGTGGGGCATGCCTGGCGTCGACAACCGTGGAAAGGATGGAAGCTTTTTGTTCCAGAACGTCAATGGGCGCTGCAAGGGCCTCATCGAGGCGGCCCCCAACTCGGAGGTGCCGACCAATGCCAACGGCGACCTTGCCTGGTACTTCCCTTGCACGACGTTCAACCAGGACGGCAAGAGCGAGCCCAACTTTACAGCACCGTACTACACTGGCTATTCGTGCCACACCAGCGAGAAGTCTCGCAACGCCTTCTACATTGATCTGAAGAAGTCTGCCGATGTCTACTTCACCTGGGACGACATCAAGAACAGCTCTCGAAACCTCATCGTCTACTCGGGCAACGTTCTCGACCTCGACCTTCTTCACTGGTTTGACTCGAGGCAGGTCACCATTCCTCAGCGCTTTGAGGAGCTCCGAGACACCAACACTGCTGCCAACAAGGCCTTCCGAGGCCGCGACGTCACTCGTCCTTTCCAGTCCAACGGTGACAAGGAGATTGCCGAGTGCTTTGAGGAGATTATCAAGGTTGGATCTATTGATACGGTCACTGTTGGCTGCATCGCTTCGCGTGTTGTTCTCTACGTCTTCCTCGCCCTGATTTTGTCTGTTGTGGGATCTCGCTTCGTTCTGGCTCTCATCTTCCAGTGGTTTATCAGCCGCAACTATGCCGCTGCCAAGACCTCCCAGTCCAGCGACAAGCGAAAGCGCGCCCAGCAGATTGAGGACTGGTCCAACGATATATACCAGGCTCCCGCAAGGATCACTGGCGACATTGGCAGCAGCGTCGTCACCTCGGACCGCAGCAGTAAACGTGGCAGCACGTTCATGACAACATCCCGATTCTCCACTGTCTACGGCCCTGATAGGGGCTCCTCGAATAAGCGCGTGCCGACCACGATGGCCAGTTCCGGGGGCAGCGGCAGTCAGCTTTTGCACCCCAACTCGATGTATCGTCAAGGCAACGACAGTCGTAGCAGCTTCCTCCGATCCGACCCCTACGCTAGTAACGTTCCTCCCTCGGATGGTCCTGGTCCCGCGGGATTCATTCACGACGCCGTTGTGCCTCAGCCGCCTGCCGATTGGATGCCTTACGGTTTCCCGCTCGCTCACACCATCTGTCTCGTCACCGCCTACTCTGAAGGCGCTATGGGTATCCGTACCACTTTCGACTCGATCGCCACGACCGACTACCCCAACAGTCACAAGGTCATCATAGCTATTTGCGATGGTATCATCAAAGGTCATGGCGAAGAAATGGCGACCCCGGATTATGTCCTTGCTATGATGAAGGACCATACGATGGCGCCTGAGGATGTGCAGCCCTTCTCCTATGTTGCGGGTGCTAGTGGCTCGAAGCGTCACAACATGGCCAAGGTCTACTGCGGTTTCTACGACTATGGAACCAAGTCTGCTATCCCTGTTGACAAACAGCAGCGAGTCCCCATGATGCTTGTTGTCAAGTGCGGTACCCCTGATGAAGCTACCAAATCGAAGCCTGGCAACCGTGGAAAGCGCGACAGTCAGATCATTCTCATGTCCTTCCTCCAGAAGATCATGTTCGACGAGCGCATGACGGAGCTCGAGTACGAAATGTTCAACGGTCTCTGGAAGGTCACGGGCATATCCCCAGACTTCTACGAGTGTGTTCTCATGGTTGATGCCGATACCAAGGTTTTCCCGGACAGTCTGACGCACATGTTATCCGCCATGGTCAAGGACCCTGAGATTATGGGTCTCTGTGGTGAGACCAAGATCGCCAACAAGCGTGACAGCTGGGTTTCCGCCATCCAGGTCTTCGAGTACTTCATCTCCCACCACCTTGCCAAATCATTCGAATCAGTTTTTGGTGGTGTCACCTGTCTGCCTGGTTGTTTCTGCATGTACCGCATCAAGGCGCCCAAGGGGGCTCAGAACTACTGGGTGCCCATCCTCGCCAATCCCGATGTCGTCGAGCACTATTCAGAGAACGTTGTCGACACGCTCCACAAGAAGAACCTCCTGCTCCTCGGCGAGGATCGTTATTTGAGTACCCTCATGTTGCGCACTTTCCCCAAGCGCAAGCAAGTCTTCGTTCCGCAGGCTGTCTGCAAGACCACCGTCCCCGATACATTCATGGTTCTGTTGTCCCAGCGTCGACGATGGATCAACTCGACCATTCACAACCTTATGGAGCTCGTCTTGGTCCGGGATCTCTGCGGCACGTTCTGCTTCAGCATGCAATTTATCGTATTTGTCGAGCTGATGGGTACTCTGGTCCTACCCGCCGCCATCGCCTTTACCTTCTACGTCGGTATGTTCAATTGCCCTCTTCCCCACTCGGGTTTTGTGCTAACCATCCCTGTCCAGTCATCATGTCCATCGTCTCCAAGCCTGTACAGGTCATCCCGCTCATTCTCTTAGCTCTCATTCTCGGTCTCCCAGCCGTCCTCATCGTCGTCACAGCGCACTCCTGGTCGTACCTCGTCTGGATGATCATCTACCTCTTCTCTCTGCCTGTGTGGAACTTTGTTCTCCCCGTCTACGCTTTCTGGAAGTTTGACGATTTCTCCTGGGGTGACACACGAAAAACGGCAGGCGAAACGACTAAGAAGGCTGGTCTCGAGTACGAGGGCGAGTTTGACAGCAGCAAGATCACCATGAAGCGCTGGGCCGAGTTTGAGCGTGAGAGGCGCTCCAAGGCAAACTACTGGGGTTCCAAGGAGAATGTTGTTGGCGGAGGCAACAGCTGGTCCATGCCAGCAGGGCACCAGTACCACGACGATTACTACTCAGACGCCTGAGCTTGGTGTTAACAGCGAAACGGCGGAGAGGTTGCACGCCTGGTTTGTGTTTTTATGACGGGAGGTGCTTATGCATGTTTTTCGAGGGCCCCGTATTACGTGCAAAGGCGCCCCTGGGTTTATTGAATGCCACCCCGGCTGCCATAATAAGGCGAGGCAAGCCGGGGCAGAGCACAAGGAGCCATGTTTATTCTTGTTTCTGATCGCCTTGTTGCTGGTGTCGGGCTGGAATGGCTGCCATTGTCGCGGGAGAAAGAGGCCACGCACGGGTTTGGCAGCATTTGGAGCCGGCGTATCATCCTGTATTTATTCTTCTCCCCCACGCCTGTAACCAAACCCTCCCCCTTCTCGCTATAGCACATAGGGTTGTGATTTATAACTTTGCTCGTGAAGCAAAGGCGGGGGAGTCAGTAGATAACGCACCCTTTTTTCTCGAAATGATGGCACCAAACGCTCCGGGCTTACCTCTATACCCTTCCCCATCTGTATGGCAATACGTGTCGGTGAATCTCCGGCCTAGGTGCAAAGAAAACCATCTGCGATGCAATGCACATCGTTGCAAATGGTATTTTTCCCTTACATGAGTCGTGGCCGGGATGAGGACAAGTGGGGGGGTTGCTGGTCAAGTGAGTGGCCGAGAATCGGTCCATGTCACTTCTGGCAAGGGGGGAAAGAGGGCGCAGAGTCACGAGGTCCAGCGAGCTGTCACATCTCAATAAAGCCTAACCCCCCCTTTCTTCCCTCCTTGGGTGACCGAGGCGTTGGGAGTTCTGTTGTAGTGTACAGAAGCAGCCCGATGGTCGATGGTGCGTGCCACGGCCGTCGATGAGCCCCAAGCATACACACACACCTGAGCTGAGCCTTGCCGCTTTTAGCTACCGAGGGGTTCGCTCCTGCGAAGTCTGTTCGCACACATGTGTTCACACGCGCGCGTCCTCGTTCGATGGAGAGCGAAGGCTCCTCACTGCCCTCCTTCGTGGCAGCTCGCACGGCAGTGGCGCCCCTTGAAAGTTCAGCGGATCGCCTCCATCGCCTGAAAATTTGGAATCTTCAAGCCTTGCGCTTGGCTTCAGAGTGGAGACGTGCTGTCTGACATGTCTGGCGTCTGCGCCTCCAAATCATGGGAAAGGGGGTCATCAGGGAGGGCACTGGCGTTCTAGCCGCAGGCTTCTGTGGAATTCCTACACGCACGGTCTTCTCCCTCGACGGAAATGCTGGTTAGGAACAGCCAAGTAGGGCAGGCCTCCGTTTCGCCGCCGTGAGGAGACATGCAAGCGAGGCATACTCGCCGCGCGCCGGTCCGCCGACTGCCGTGTGTACCTCCGTGCTCGCGAAGCAAGCTTTGACGGCGTCCCGACGGCCGCTGCACCACCAGCGATGATGGATCTCGTTCTACTTCGACAAAGTTGAAACACCACCTATCAAAGCCCGTGCAAGAGCTTACGCGTGCACTGAAGGCGCTCGGCTGGTTTGCCGACACAGCCTCGGAGAAGCCTGCATCGCCATCCCTCGCTCGGACGAGCTCTCCAGAAGTTTAAGTAGTTCCGTGCCGGGCGTTTATACAAGACCAGGCGTTGCCAGTACTTTGTACTATCTTCCAGGCGCTAATGGGTTTCCCTCTTCACAGTGCGGTGGGCATGCAAATGTCAACCGCTTACGCGTTCCCTTCGGTGGTGGTGAAATAGGCAGTTGATTCGCTGGGTGATGACTCTGGCCAAGAACATCTTGTAGGTAAGTTAAATGGGGCGCCTTCTTCGAACAGCAGGCTTTTCCAGTAAACATGTCGGAGAGCCTAAATGTTGTTCGGGATATTGCTTTGGCTGGGGTGGGTGGCATACCAAATGTACGGGCGTTGAAAGGTGATCAGTGAATGTTCAGCTCCGATCACACATTTGCTGACGAGCTAAAACATTCGAGTTGATACTATAGAACCGATGTATAAGAAGGAGGCGACACAAATGGTCTCATATCGATCTTTGTGCCTGGACTCTCCTTGGAGTTGCTGCAATATCTGGTACAACGGAGGCACAACTCCTTACGCGTCACGACAACATCTCAAAATAACTTGATACATATAACTTAATACATTGGAACACCTGTTCATCCTCCCTTTGTCCTGAAACCTATCAGCTGGGCCTGATATGCAAGACCCTGCTTCACCCAGTGCGCCTCGTCTCCTCTGACACAGATCCTTTAACGAACGCCTATCATCCAGCCGAAGATCTTCGTCTTACTACATCAGCCCCTGACTATTAAATAATGAAGCCTCCACGTGGAGGCTCACTGCAAGAACCAGGTTCGTAGTAAGAATTCATAATATCAAATGATGGGCTCGGTGGGATTCTCGTCGCGTACATGACCTCTGTCTTTCGCACACTGTTTGAAGTCGTAGTCGACGCTCTGGTGTTGAGGAACGAAATATTGGAGACACTGGCTCCATGACAATGGTCATAAACTTGTCCACTAGACGCTTCCGACCTGTACCTAATGATCATTAAAGCGTGGACGGACTAGCTCGCCTGCTCAACAGTTCGAGGGCGACATGAGATGACAGTAGCGGAGGTCCCTCGTTGGGAGTACTATCTTGTTCTCTTCTCCGCTCATGTCCGCACCAAGGCTACAGGCTTCAAGGAGGCGTCATTAATGTACCCAGAAACCCTGTCGGATGGGCCGAAACGTAACATCCTCAGAAGCCTCGGGGCGCAAGGCTGGAAATTCAACCCCAGGAAGCATGCATGCCGAGATGTCTGGGAGGTCGAGTCGTTGCGTGCGTGACAAATAGTCCTCTCTTCCCCGTCGTTTACACTTCTTCTCGCAGCAAAGCTTATAAGTTGTGATATTTGACTTTGTTACACAAAGCCCAAAGGCTGTATATTTCGCTCGAAGCAAGCCACGATGTGGCCTGACCCTCTCGAATAGATGGGGAGGACTACATCGTCATGCCCGGGTCACGACGTCAGGGACTGTCGAAGCTGGGTTATAGCGGCAAGGCGGGCGAGCTAGCGTCCGTTGAGGGCCAGGAGAGTGGCAGTTTGTCAGCAATCAGCGAACCAGATCAACAGTGTCACCCTTTCAATGTCCACTTCTGTCGATCTCACAAGTAAACCCCAGCAAGGCAGTCGGCCACAGCTCTTCCAGGGACCATGTGTAGAGCCCGCAAGGGTCGACAAACAGGCTGTGCTCACAACGGCTGACTGAAGCCATGCGGGCAGCCGTTTTGAACGAGGGCGAGTCACTTTGTGGATTCTGCGTAGCTGTCTTGGGTGTGGGGGGCTCGTGTATGTGGTGGGAGACCATTAGGTGGGTGGCTGCCCCTTGCCTAGGCAGACAGGGCAGGATCCGGGTTGTTGAACCAACGTAGCTACCTAGTAGGAGCGAAGTTGAGGTAGGGATGGGCGGGTCGCGACAGGGGAGGGGGGGTCGGCGGCCCGTGTCCGGGGAGGAGGACATTGGGGTCGCAAGTAAGGCCCTTGTCTAGACCAAGAGGAGGAGGGACTTGACGGCAGCCTCAAATAGAAAGGGAAGTCAAACCTATCATATGACTCTCAACAGTCATCTGGCACGTGCGGCCAACAATGTTTGACCTCGCATGGTGGGTAGACGACGAGCAGAGTCGGGTCTGCATTGCCTCATTGCCTCGGTGTGCCTTCGTGCTCAGCACCTCATTGTGCACCAACAAGGAAGTTGGTAGTTCAAGAGAGGCGCGAAGAACTCTGATGAGGTTGAGGGGCAAACCAACGCACCGCATATGATGAATACCAGCGCAAGGCGCATCGCATCAGTCGGCGGGTCCATGTCCTGGCTCGCGGTTTCTGACCCTGATAGGCGCCATGCATGGTGCCACGAGGAGGAGGAGGGGGGGGAACGCCCGTGGACCTCCTGTCCGCCGACATGGGGACGGCGTCCGAATCGGACGAGGTACAGCGGAATGTGCTGATGGCGGGACGGTCAAGGTGACATTGGTTTCTTGGTGGTGACTCGACGTCCCGGGACGGATGATCTTACTATCGAAAGTGTGGGTGAATTGAAGAAAGGAGCCCTTGGCACAGTGAGGGAGGCGACAATGTGCGACGCTCCAGGCTGCGGGTCGCATATCCTGTGATGAGAAGGATTTCTTCCATGTTGCGTAACAATGGCTTCCGTCGCGAGCCTTCTCGAGTCGGATGGCTGCTGAAGTGCACCTGTTTTGAGGTGATACGACCCAGTTGTCGATGCTGGGGCCGGTTCGAGACAAGTAGGAGCTGGGATTTCGGTGCAAGAACAGCTTTTGGTAGCTGACGGGGTTTGCTCCACCCGTCAGCGAATCTGAGGTGATGATGTGTCCAGCACAGATGCGGTGCCTGACTTGTGTCAGTGCTTCTCAAGGTGTCCACGGCCCAATGTGGCCCATTTGACTCGTCAGCGAGCTGAGGTTTTACTCCAAAGTCAAGTTGTCATGATGATGAACGACGACATCGTTCCTCTTGACTCCTACCCTGGTCAAAAGCGGCGATATGGGGCAAGAGCTTTCAGCGGGCTGTCGGGTGGCTCCTGGTGAGGATGCGACAGGCTAGTCTCTGCGCGGCAAGATCATGTCCCAGGCCCTTGCCCTTTGCCCTTTGCCGTCCGCCCAGTGGCACCTACGGTCATGGATGTCGGGGTGCACCTTCCCTGCCCTGCCCTGCCTGCCCTGCTCCTAACCGTTGTCCGCTATCCTGGCCGCCTGCCTCTGCCCTTTTCGCACCGTTGCTCTGTCGCTGTTGCCGTCTTCCTCCTGGGGTCATGGTTGCTGCTCTGTGCACTTTCCCGGTGGACGATTGCCAATTGCCAATCAACAGTGGGCCGGGGCCCCCTTCTCCGTCTGCCCCCCCGGCCCATCCAGTCAAGCCCATGTCGACTTGACCTGCTTTATTGCCGACCCCAACTTCTAGTTCCCAGCGATTCCAAGACCGTGTCTTCGCCTCTTCTCGCCCCTCTGGCTTGTGCCAAACACGTTGGCCATCTCTCACTGTCTCTGGCGTCGCAAGAGAGCAATCCGTCGTTCTTCAGACGGCACAATCCGCAAGTCTGGCTAACTCTGTCTGCGGCCGCGCAAATCAAAGCAGATTGTTCAAAAGCCGAGACGAACTCACCTGGATACTGGCGTGACGCTGGGTTGGCTCGTTGCAGTCCCGCAACCTTCATTATTGCCGGAAGAACGTCAACGAGGCATCGAACCTCATGCCGTCGCTTTACCGACACTAGACTTGGGTGCCAACTTGGGCGGCCGGCGAACTCAAAAGCAAAAGCACCCAATCCTTTTGATCGCACTAACCTAGCTGCCACGGGACTAGGGGAACTGTAACCCCCCGAGACCTTGAAAAGCAAAGAGCCTCCCCGGATGAGCATGGCAAACTGAGTTCGGTACGATATCAACATTACCAAGCACCCACTCGAAGGTGAGGTGGCCAGTTGTCCACCAACCGCCTAGGCTCTACGTATCGTGGACATCAATGGTCTTCGCCAATTCGCCAATCTGCTCCGCTGATGATAAAGAGCTGCCCTGGAACTTCACCAACGTTCACCATGCGTCCACGGGCGAATCAGGCCGTTCATTCACAGGTCTATCCTCCAGTTGCTTCCGATCCCTCACATGATCATGCCCTCGGGATGACCTCGCCGGCTCTCGAAGGCGGTGTTCAACATCTGAACCCTCAAAGCCGCCAAACCGGGACAGAGGCCAGCGCTTCAGCCACTGCCGGTCTCAATCATCACGATGCTATGCATCCACAGCCTATTGCCCCACCGAATCTACCCATCTCAGGCCTCAACACCGTTCAGACTCCCGCGCACTCAATATCAGTACCTGGTGAGCTGCATGAGCTTCAAGAGTATCATGAGCAGAATGTTGCCGACGGCACCGAAGGTGCTCTAGCACTGCAGGCGAATCATGAAGCATTCAACGCCGTTCCCATGGCGATGCAGCATACACAACACGTCAGCATGCAGTTGGCTGACCCCCATCTCGAAGGCCTGCTCGAACCAACCAACCCGGGTGCCACTTCGGGGCCACTCTCTCACATTGAGACTCTTTATCCCCCCCACCTTACCGATTCACCGCATGCCCCGACCGATCCGGTGGTGGTGAACTCCGAAGACCAGTCCTTCCTTCTGACAGCCCTTCCGCCCGTACAGCCAGCACTCGGAAGTCTCAATGCACCTGGAGCGCTCACGCTGGATCTTCACGCACAACTGAATCTGTTCAGCACCGCCCAGCCCACGTCTCTCGGCCCCGAGAACCATGGCCTGAACGAGTTCCTTAGGATATGGGCACTGAGTGATCGATGGGGTTCTTCAAGCATGCCAGGCCCTCGGCTGGATAGAATCAGCGCCCAACTGGCCGCTAAGCCCATGCGTATGAGCTATGAAGAGCTTGACGGCGAAGGAATGGATTTTCAGGGCTTGGACTGGGAGGACATAGGCGTGTCGCGCAAGTATGCACGTGAGCGACGAAAACTTACCTACAAAAATTATACTAACAAGCTAGACTCCGACAAGTGGAAGGTGAGAATCTTAACATCTATGATAGAAGTTTATCCCGCTGACATGCTGGGCTGTAGATCCGTCCCTTCGACGGAGCGATCCCTAGTTCAGAGAGCTTCTACAGGTTTCGGCGCATGGATTTACGCCGGAACATTCATCTAGCACATTTCCAACTACGAAATGTACTGGCTTGCGCCGACCGAAGCCACGTCTTCTACCCGGGTAGGGATGTGATTCACCGCATAAACCCCCTGTCTGGCCATTCCGACGTGGCTATGGATTTGAGTGATTTGCATCACGTCCAAATCTCGACACTCGATGCTAAGCATGACATGCTTGTCGTCGGAACATTCAACGGGGAGTACTGTATGCGTAGTGTCCACTCGCAAGACCCGAGGTTCACGGAGGGCCAGGTCACCAACAACAGCAGTTGCATCACGAATCATCTGCAGATTCATGAGTCGCGTCACTCGAGCAGTCCTTTGGTCGCATTTTCTTCGAACGACCAAGGCTTCCGTGTCATGGACGTCGCTTCGCAAAAGTTTACACTGGACACAAAATTTAAATTTCCCATGAACTGCACCGCTCTTTCCCCCGACGGTCGACTACGCGTCATGGTCGGCGACAGTAATTCGGTTATCATAGCCTGTGCCGAGAGTGGCGGCCCCGTTCAATGGCTCTCTGGCCACCGTGATCATGGCTTTGCGTGTGCTTGGTCCGAGGATGGCTGGACGGTGGCAACAGCAGCACAGGACAGGAGCGTCAAAATTTGGGATGCTCGTCGATGGACCAACTCGAGCGCTAGAGCCACACCTGTGGCTACAATCCGATCAGAGCTGGCCAGTGTTCGCGGACTGCGGTTTTCTCCAGTTGGCAACGGGCCTCCGGTACTTGTTGCGGCGGAAGAGGCCGACTTTGTCAACATTATCAATGCACGCACGTTCCGTCACAAGCAGACGATCGATGTCTTTGGCGAAATCGGCGGAGTAGGATTCACAGATGACGGCAACGAGTTGAACATATTGTGTACGGACCGTCACCGAGGTGGTCTGATTCAGCTCGACAGATGTAACTACGGATCCAAGTCTGAATTCGTAGGCTCTTTTCAGCCAAACGCCATGGACGATATATGGAGGCAGCCTTACCGGTCTGCACTACACGATGAAGAAGGCTTCGACGAGGGCCTGACACGCGGTGGGCCAGCAGGTCCGCGCACCAGATTATACTGGGACGACATGGAACCTTTTTGAAGCATTTTGCATGATACCCGAGCACATACGACGAAATGTCTGATGAGAGAAGACGACTTATGAGGCGCGCATTCATATCCCTGCATTTCAATTTGAACGGCGAAGCATACTTGAGTCTGTGAGCTTGGGTTTGCCGTTCGACATTGTATTTCACAACGCGTGGCTGTGAATCTGCCGTTGCTTCCCCCCGCCCTTATATTGCATGCGGTATGATGGTATGACTTGTGTCCGCCGAATCATGAACAGCAGCAAATATACGCAACGAGCACATGGCTAGACAATGTTTTAGGAGGTAGAGGCGCGCTTGTATAAGATGTACAAGTTTGGCAGGTAGCATTGATCTTCCTGGCTAGCAAAACCATGAATACATCTCTACGTTGCAGGGACAGAAAAGATCAAGCGGTGCCACGTTAGGATTCGTCATTCCGTCACAATCTTGAGGTGAAACCGGCATAGCGATGATGCTGACAGCTGGAACATTGTAACTCAAACTGTTGCGGCCGTTCCGTATAGAAACACCAATATTGAATAGAGTCATGACAGTTTGTAATAAGAATACTCTATGCCGGGTCGATATTGCAGAAGAGTGAAGAGACGATGACGACGGTGAAGTCTTCCTTTGCTGCCCCACTTTCCGCGCAACTTCTGACCGTTGGCAAGAAGAATTTGCAGTAAGATGGCCTAGTGAAGGAGCCCAAACCAAGGCTTGTGGGCTTTGCTAGATTGTATTGAGTGAATAAAGTTCCAGAGCCTGCAATTCCAAAAGCACCCAAAAGCCGTCCGGCTTAACGTCGTTTCGTGTGCGTTGCAGGCACCCACCGCATGTGGACCGTACGCCAGTCAGTCGGACCCCGCCGCCGGATGGATGTAACTGTGTATGAATCGTTTGGACATGGGGTCGGCTCTCTATTCCTCCCAATGACACCATAGCTGTTTGGAGAATCTCAGCACGAGGAAGGATGATCAATCTCCTAGTTTTTCACAGCAAAAGGGATAAACCGCTGGCTTGGATTGGCAGAGATCTTTGGCCAGGGTGTATACCGAAGCTGGCTTCACGATCCACGTATCAGACACTGCTGGGACTCCTACTAGCTACAACATAAACATACATGACTGGGCGACCAAAGCACCCAAGAAGAATGGGAGAATACAAGCATTGGGGGGACATCAGAGAGAAACCAAAAGGATGGATCCCCGAGTAAGCTCTTCATCTTGACCATAGTGTCCACATGGACTCAGACTGGTGCACGGCGAGAGATCAAGTTGAAACCCCCCGGACCACGCATTGGATGAGGCCGAGACGGCAAAAAAGCTTTTTGTTCAATGCAGATGAATCATTTCGAAAGCAGGAGGGAGCGCTTCCCATGCTTGGACTACCGAAACAGGAACATGAGAAAAAAAGATATGCAAGGTTCGCCTATATTCATCCAAGATTGAGAGAAAATATTGGGGAATTTTTGCTCCGCTGCACACAACGACTAGCCCGGTGACGAACGTTTTCGGTGGGGGACGAGATGACCCGAGGACAAGGACATGGCGTTAACAACGTTATGGTTCGTTTTCATAATACATTGCAAGCTAGTGAAGCTATGGGCGGTATGCAGGATAGGTTGTAAATAACAGTCGATATTGTCTGGCAAGTGTCGACGCGGATTATGGAAACATGAGGGATGTACGCCTAGTACGAAGGCGTGTTACCGCCCTCGAAAAGGTCACCGCAGCCCCAGGACTGCTCGCAGCCGCAAGCACCGGGCTCCTTTCCACTCATCGTTGTGGAACGAGAAAGAAAAACGGTCTTGTCACCAACAAAGCTCACGAATGGAGGTGATGGCGATAGTCTGCTCAGCCTTACCGGGGGGTGGCCTTGCCGTTGGCGCTGCCGCCAGTAGGCCAGCCGCACTCAAGGTTGAGGGCAGGCTTGTTGCCACAGATGCTGTTCTCGAGGATGTCAAGCTGGTTCTTAACGAACTTGCCGGCATCCGAGGGGGCGACCTCAGCGTTGAAGTAGGGGTGAATCTGACCACCGACAACGTCGATGACGGGGCAGAGGGCAGCGGCAACCTCCTTCTGCTCCCAGACGTTCAGAGTCTCGGCAGTGGTGTAAGGGCCCTTGTAGCCGCAGCGCCGCACGACTCCTTGACGGAGACAATAAGGGTCTTCAGGGAGTTGGCGTCGCAGCGGCCCTGGAAGATGCACTCGTTACCGACGACGAAGAGGTCGACAAGATCCCAGTTGCCAGCCTTGCCCCACTGGTTGATAGTGTCGATCTGCTCCTTGACCTGAGGGTTCTCAGGGTTGCAGGTGTCCTTGACGAAGATGCCAATGATCATGCGCAGGCCGTGCTCCTTGCAGGCGGCACCGACGTTCTCGAGGGTGGAGCAGTCGGTGGAGTAAACGCGGACAGTATCAAAACCGGACTGCTTGATGACGGCAATATCCTTGCTGACCTCAGTGGCGGACTTGCAAGAGCCGGAGGCGTCCTGGCTGAAAGGAGTGTAGGTGATGGCCCAGTGGTCACCAGCACCGCCACCGATCTTGGGGGTCTCCTTGGCGGGAGTCTCCTTCTTGGGGGTCTCCTTGGGGGTCTCGGGAACCTCGTAGGCGGGGGTGGGCTTGGGCTCGGGCTCAGCAGCCTTGGTGATCTCAGGCTTGGGGGCCTCGGGCTTGGGGGCCTCGTAGACGGGGGTGGGGGTGGGCTTGGGAGCCTCGCTGGTCCAGGGGCAGACGACGACGACGTGCTCCTCGGTGATGGTGGTGGTCACGGCAGGGCGCGTGTAGGTGCCAGGGGTGACGGTGGTGATGGTAGGGTACACGACATCCTCCTCCTTCTCGCAGACGGTGACGGTGGGGGCGATGGTGTAAGTACCGGCCTCGGGGCAGACGTACGTGGTGGTCTCAATGACGCTCGTGACGACACCGTTGGTGGTCTTCTCGGTGGCGTAGGGGCAGACAACCGTGGTGGAGCTCTCGACGATGGTGGTGACACCGCCGTAGGTCTGAGTGCCGGCGGGGACCTTGGTGGTGGCCGGAGCGCAGACGGTGGTGGTCTCGCTGACGGTGATGGTGGTGGCCGGGAAGGTGTAGATGCCGGGGGTCTCGCAAACCTCAGCGACGGGGGTGGGCACCTCGAGGGCGGGAACATAGGTCGAGGTGGGCTTGGGGGGAGGAGGAGGAGGGGCCTGGCTGGTGGGCTTGGGGCTGGGAGGGTTGGGCATCACTGGAATGTTTGTTAGTCGGTACTGGGACGGCATGACCATATCAGATGGCGTCGAGTGTACGTACGGGTGGGCTCGCCGTAGATGGTCTTGTAGATGGTGGTGCAGCCGGGCAGGCAGACCTCGGTGCCGTTGTTGGTCCTCTTGAAGAGGCCGTGGGCGTGACGGTGAGCGCTGGAGGCGCTGACACCGGCGGCGGCGGCCGCGGCGAGGATGAGAGAGCCCTTCATGTTGACTAGGGGAATCGAATTAAAGCGTGAAAGCTGAATTTGTGATTTTTCGAGTTTTTGGCGTTGCGTTGGAACGAATGCCCGCTGAAAGAGTGAAGCGGTGGTGAAGATTAGGGAGGTAAGGGGGGATGGGAGGACGAAACTGTGTTGACAAGCAATCAACTCATTGACGGATGTGTTCGTGAAGAGAAGGGAAAGGAAAAAAGAAGAGAAGAAGGGGGTACAGGAGTGGAGGGCCGGGATGTTATTATTGCCTGGCAGGCCACTTGCTGGGCCCGGGGGTGGTGGGCGTGCGTGTGCTTGGTGCTTGTGCAAGGTCCTGGGTAGCCGTCAAGCCGTGGAGGTGGCCAGTCGAGCTCGAGTTGCCAGAGGAGGGCCCTGCCATGGCTGGGGCGAGACTAGGCGGAGTTGGCGGACAGGGGGATAGGGAGATACCCTCATCTGAAGTCGACACCTGGCACGGGGTAGGTACGAGAAAGCATGACTGACTGGGTCGGCCGCGGGTTGCAGTGCTTTCCCGTCGCTTGTCGGCGATTCTCCCTCGAGACGCGGGGCCGGCCTTCACTCTAGCCCTGTGTACCGCGTGGATGCAGGTGAGCACAAGCGGTGATGTACCGTAGACGCTGGACCATCAAACAGAGTACGAACACACACCCCTGCTTCTGTTGTTCCAGCTTCCCTATTCCTTCATCGTCAGCCTTCGCCTCTCGCCCTCTCGAGCCAGGGTGTAGACGCGCTTACAGGTCATCCGGCCCCCCTCTCCTTCCCACCCCCTGTCGGGCTCCCCAGGATGAACGTGGATCCCCTACAGAGCGCTGCGCCGGCATCTCGAAGATGCGAGGTTAGCTCGTGATCCAGTTCAGGTCGGACGGCTGGGAGGCGTTTGCCCATCGCGCATCCGTACCCAAAGATGGGGGACGCATTGACGGCGACTCGACCAGGGGCTTGGGCTGTTGAGGCATGTAGGGCGCTAGGTGCCTCGATCGGGGCGAAGAACGGCGTTTGGCCAAAGACAGGCAAGAGACCAGTGGAGGGTGTTTGATTGACCAAGATTGGGGGGGTGGGCATGCAGCGAGTCGTGTGGATGAGCGGTCGAGCAGTGAACTGGTCGTGGGCTTGGCTCTTGGTCTTGGCCATGATCTCGTTTCTTGGAGGTGGAGGTGGAGATGGGGGCGGTGGCATAGGCAAGAGGCATGAGGGATGAGGGAAAGGGGTTGAAGAGGGGCCCCTGGCGAGTTGAACCAACGAGAACGACGTACTGAAGCGCAGGGATGCCTCAAAGTGGGCCCCCCTCCGTGGACACGAGTGGTCTCGCCGGGAAATTAGCTAAGCGACATTGCTGAAATTTAGGGCCCCTTAGCCCCCCCCCCGGTTCCTTCCCTCTTCTCTGGCCTCTGTCATGACGGCGGCCCCTTCGATCATGATGCCGGATTGCCCGCCCGCTTACCTAAATTCTTCATCATATCTCGTCCCACATTCCTGGTCGCTTCAATCTCCCGTAGACGCCGTCTTTCTGTGTTCGCGTCGTTACAATGGCTGTCATCGAAAAGCCCCCGGCGGTAGCCCCATCGTCACACCTCCTCCGCATTAAAACAACAGAGATGGGTGCAGCCACAGTGTCAGCCAGGAGCCCGTGCCACGCCCAATCCAGCCGTCCGTCTGAAAGCTCCCGACCCCTATCCCGGACAGGCCTTCCTTGTTAGGGTCTAGCGCAGATGTACCTGCATCAGTGCATCTGCCAGATGTACAATCCAGGAACACCCGACTGCGCCAATCGCTCTTTCCGCCCTCGCCGCCTGACCCTGGAGGCAGCATGTCTTTGCCCTGTGAGCTTCTCGCTAGGCCCTTTCAGAAGCATTCACTTTCATGTTTGCTTCCAACCAGGTCTTTCCACCCAGGTCGGTCCAACCAAGTCGACAAAAAGTCCCTCTCCGCCAAGCATGGACCTAAATTAAGGTCCCTGTCAGTCGAAACTCTCCTGTTCCCCTCCCAGAGCGGGTTGGCGCATGAGTATGAGGGACCTACCTAGGTGAAAGGTCCGGTTGGGAACGAAGTCATGTCGCACAAAACAACACATTGTGTCATCATCCCCTCGCCTCTTATCCACTCGCCTCGTCATGCCAAGTCACGTTGTGTTGACCTTGTCTTTCAACACGAAATGGCAATCATCACCTCATCCGTTGCAGGAAAGTTGTGATGCTGTACCGACTCTACGGTACAGTACTGGCACCACGGGGATAGCGAGCGTATAGCTCGAGCCATAGTGCTCAGCTCACGTCACGTGCTCTTGCTGACCTTTCAGCCCCCCCCCCCCAATCCATGATCCACCTGAAATTCACCGGCTCGCCGCCCCCCGCCCCCTTTCCCCTTCATCAGCCAGCCTTTCCTATCTCTGCTGCCACCGCTGCGAGCGGCCATCTCATGATCACCAAGTATCGCCTGTTTTGGTCTCGCGCCTCCGAAATCCCAAATCACCACAACCACCAGGCTCGGGAGCTCAGAAGCCAAGAAGCCCAGAAGCCCAGAAAGCCCGCCAAGGCCCGCCCGCTCACTCTAGTCCCTTCGTATCCCTTCCCGAGAGCCAAGCTACATCGCAAATCACCATGCGCCTACCGAAAGGGCAGCGATCCTCGACCACCTGCCCTCCTGAACGACGGTCCAGAACCGATCATCCCATCTGCCCCTTTTCCCACACGCTCTCGCTCTCTCTCCCCCCTTGACTTTGATCTCCCACCCGAAGCGAAACCCATCCTTCTTTTTTCGGATGGCCTATCGAAATCTAGCGCCCGGCCCTTCAGACGGCTGAATCGGCCATTTGGGAAGCAATAGTCCCGCCGTCATCTAAAACCCCAGGTTTCGCTCGTCCCGTTTGCCGTGCTTTCTTTTCCTCGAAGCCGGCCCCCACCCCCCTCCATGCGTTCATCTCACTGGATGAGGGGCCGGACACCTGCGAACGACGACTGTGGTGGCTCGAAAGCAGGCCCCGGGGGGGGGGGTTACTGATAACTCGCATCCACTCCAAACCCATCCGAGATGGCCGAAACGAAAGATTTCGGCTGCCTCTTCTTCCCGCCCCGCAACGGGG